TATATATAGATATATATATACATTTATTTATGTATAAGACTTAGATTTCGTCTTTCTTTCCAGCTTAATTATTATTTATATAGTTGCAATCACCTTTAGGATTAATATGATCTTCTTTTAAAGTTTGGATCCTACATCAATTGCATAATTATGAATATGAAATTTGCAAACACGATGTAATTAAAAAAACTCGTATATGTTATTTACATTAATACAGAAAATGTGTGGTTTGTAATTGTATGTATTTCTTACCTTCATTTAAATTTCTTGAAAAAATTATTAGTAAAATTATATCAAATATTACTTGCGTTCTTGTTAACATTGTTTTCGTAGTTAACGATGCTTCCTTTAATTGATTTAAATGTTTACCCACAACATAATAATCAATACATAAAAATAGTGATAAATAAAAGCGAAGTCAATAAAAATGTTCCTTTCGGTTTTTAGTAGAATGACTCATATTATATTGTGCTTTTTAGAGTTGTATCCCGTGCAAAGTATAAGTCAAAAACACTTTCTAAAAAAATCGTTGCATTCAGATTTAGCTGAAGTAGGGGACTACCAAACTATTTTTGATAGAATCACTATCGCATTTTATATGGTAATATAAATGATCTTATGTAATATTTGACAACATTTTTTTAATTTTTTGTCAGTGTTTGATTTAACATTTAATCTTAGACCTGTAACAAGTCTTAAGTAATCCAATGTTAGTTTTAAAAGACGAGCCATCAAAAATAAATTACAAAGCCTTGAAAATTTTAGTTATTTTAAGTTTGTAGGCGCTTTTTTGGAATCTTAAATTTTGAATTTTAAGTAGCTGCGCGATATCATTATATAGTTGACCCCTTAAGTTACAACAGCCTGTCAAAAGCCTTTTTCTAATAAACTAGTTTAGTCCTTATCAATGGATTTCAGGAACAATATCGTTTTTAATTTAAGAGAAATAAAATTATTATTTTACATACAACATTTTTACCTATTCCTCAGGATATGTTTTAATTTTTTTGAAAAGGGGAGGCCATAAGAAGAAAATTTGTAAATGCACATATATTTAATTTATATGTGTAAAGTATAAATTTATTTTAAACAAAACTCAAAAACTTTAAAATAAAAGACGGGTACAGGAGAAGAGTCTATAACGATTCGCAGACACTATTTTCTTAGCCCATTTTCACAAAGCCCTTTAACCGACAGTAATTTTAACTAACTGTCTATCACAGGGTGCAGTAACCTGTAGTAACTGAGAGCCATTTTTTAAATTAAAAAAAAGTGTTGAGAGCCGCATTAAAGCACTATTTTTACCAAGCATTGACGGTGCTCCATCTGTTGCCACACTTACAAGTTTATTTAGTGGTACAGCAGTATCCATCAGTGTTTTATCAGGGGCAGTCTTGACATCGATACCGCGAGTGGCATCTGTCAGTGCCACTAAGTTAAATATATCTACTTTTACAGCCACGTCTAATAAAACATAACGAACGAACACCGCCAAATGTGGCGTATCTTGAAGATCTGTTGATTCATCAAGAGCCAAACTGAATGCTACACAGTTCTTTAAATCGTTCGTCATTCTTCCTTCAATATCAGCATTAATGCCTGAAATAAGTCTCTCAGAGGTGTGGCATTGGAATTTGAGTTATCAGTCACCGAAGTCTGGAATTATTTGGATCTAATATTGAAATTACTTCCTCGATATTCTTCTTAATAAAGTCCCAATCAGAAAAAGGTCGTTAATCACGAGAAAGATTCGAAGCGATGGCATAACTTGCCTGAGTTGAAGTGACACCTTCTTTGCTGAAAGCAGAAAGTAGTGTCTGCTGCTGACACAATCCAGACTTTAACTCAGCAAGCGTCTAGATTGCACTAATCAGAAACCAATCGCTCCCTTCCACTTTTAAAATTTAAATCAATCCAAAATTATTTTTCAACCCTTTGTTTCAGTCAAGATTTTTTTTTTTAAACTTCCATTTAATTTTGATATTTCAAACAAAAAAGTTTTAATTTCATAAATTGTTCGCGAGCCGCAATGTGAACACAGAAGAGCCGCATGCGGCTCGCGGTCCGCGGTTTGGCCACCGTTGGTCTATTATGTGAAAGGAACATTCACTGAATTCAATGTTGGAAGCTTTGAATGAAATTAAATTATTTTTAAATCAAACATGAAAGCCTTTGACTGCGTTAAAGCTTTGTGAAGGAAATAGTATAACAAGGTATGTATGCTTGAATAGAAGTACTGGCAAATGCAAGAGGAAGGTTGCAGTTAAAATCTTTTTGCAACAACGATAGCGAAAACTTAAGTATTTTACAACTAGTTTTTATTTCTTGTGTTATCTTTTCTTTAGCCCTGTCTGTTGCAGGATGATTAGTTTTGTAAGTCCCTTTGTTAATATCACATAGGTCCCTGGTACTGATCGAAATGGAACTCCTTGCATTAACATAAAGGGGGGTGGGGGTGTGGTTTAAAAAATATGAAACAAAAATCGTTCCATGGATAAAGGGAAGTTAAATTAAATTTTACCACAATAGAAACAGTGGCGATGAATTTAAAATGCCTTAAGTGGTTTTGTCATTAGAGTTGGATAAATATTTAAAAACAAAAACAAATAAAAGTTGATTTTGTTTCCCAATGAAAAAATTAGATTTTAAATTGTGTACATTAGACCTCAAATACCTGATCCACGAAAATTTAGATAAAATATTATTTGTTAAACTTTCCATGGCAATTTCCTATCTGCAGATTTGTTAACGGTGCATATTTCAATCCGTCACATACCTTTAGAAGTGAAAAGGAATCACGTAAATCATAAGAAAAGTAATCATGTTAACGAGAGATGTGGACACAACTCTTTATTTTTTTTTGTATTTGATTCTTAGCGAAACCTCTCAAGAAGTTACGCCTGGTTTCTGTACGTTACAGTTAGATGAACCGAGTGTAACATTAAATGCTATAAAGATGCCAGTAACAACCAGGGAGCTAAGACGGTTTAAGGATATTGAAGTTTATTTTTGACACAGTGGTCCGGGTAGTTTATGGATCAAATAGTAAAAACGCCTACACGCTTCGTTATTTTTACAGGTTTCGTTAGGTTGAAATTTACAGATAGTTTTGGGAACTGGTTTCATAGAATGTTAACCTAATGGGTTTGATAGATTTCTGGGAAAGGTGCAATATTTTTGAAAGACCATCAGTAGTATTTTTTTAATTATTGCGGTGGATTAATTTCCGAGTTGAATATCTAATAATAAATGGGTTGGCACACGATTTAGTTGACTAGGCTTTATAATCTGTTTGGACAATGTTTGTGTTAGTGATTCAATAATTCACCAGCCATATTGCGGGTATTCGAGAATAGTGTATACTATTACAACGGATAAAAATAAGTTTAAGGTTTTGTAGCTGTATCTGAACTTAGAGAGAGTAACGTGTCAGTGATTGAATTAGTAATATTGTATAATGCATTTTTGTTTTCTTTATATTAACTTTTTAAACACTAAGTTGTGAAATAATTGATTCGTGATCCCTGGTCTATTTCAACGCCTGCACTATACTCAAGTAAATTAAAGCGAGGATATATTTCTTTTACTCACAACTAGAACAATCAAAATAAGTTAAGACATTTCCAGACAGAAACCCTCCTTGTTATACCTGTTTAAAGACAACTGGAACCCCTAATGTTGAAAAATCGTTTTGCTAAAATTGATACACATTACATAATCGGACAGGTATTCAAAATACGTAGGCGAGATAACAAAATTAAAACAAATCAACACCCAATGATAAATGTTAAGCTACATATTATCGATGCTACACTGCATCAGGTGTATTTTAATACGTCAGGTTAGCTCCTGGCATTGGCAAACTTTACGGATTGATCAACCAGCTAACGCAGCATTGAACCTTTTTCTAGGGAAAGATGGCAAAGGTGAAAACCAAATACTAGAATAAAAAAGTCGTAAAATTTAAAACTTGGCCACTTATCTCTCAATTTACGATTCGACGAACGCACACACACGATATAATATCTGAAAAAGGGTGTATGACTTATAAATACATATATAAGATAATACATTTTATGTTGTTTAATTTTTTTTAAATTTCATTTAAACGTGCATTTGCATGTACAATATTTTTGTAACATTGTCACACTTGGAACATTAAGACTAATCATTTATTATCACAATAAAACAAATTGACGTGATACAGTGTGTAATCTGAATGAGTGGATTGAAATCAAGTTTCTGATTATTTTTATTTTTAAAAACAGAATTTAAGCATTGATTAACACTTTAGAGCAGTGGCTCTCAACCTTCCTAATACCGTGACACTTTAATACAGTTGCTCATGTTGTGGTGACCCCCAAAACATAAATTATATTAATTACTCGTTAAATCATGTGTAACAGTCCTTCGACCCTCAAAGTGTTCATGACCCACAGGTTGAGAACCACTGCTACCCGAAAAGGAGGGCAAAGTTTTATACCCAACACGATGTATGTTTTGATCGTGCCGTATCGTGTAGTTAAGGAACACACAGTATTGGGCGGTAAATCATGGCTGGTGCTTCACCCTATGTAAGGTAGCACAACTTGAAGGGAGGAAACCGAGTTGTCTCTCTGTCTCTGTGTGTGTATGCGTGTGTACGTGTTTATGTGTGTATAACTTCATTCTAGAAAAAAAGCTGCTCGCCAGTCTAATACCAATACCCGCATATCAGTGTGTAGACAGTTAATTGTACGTTGATATATGTACAAGATCTCCTTACACGAGGTAATCATTGACACTATATTTATAACGTTTTATATAAACACCAAGTCATTGACAATTGTATTATAACGTTTCAGCTAAACATGGAGTCATTGACAATGCTTAATGGCCAATACAAAATACTGTAAAAATTAACGTGGCATTTTAAAAAGGAAACAAAACTCACTATTTATTAATTCACATGTGGTTACATTTTATAACTTATAATTTTTGTTTTTGTTTTATGGTTAGTTCGTTGGAACAACTCTTAATCGGTGCTGTCTCTGTATGCCTCTAGGGGACTTAATGTTCTAGGACACCTCACGCCTCTGAGGTGCCACACGCTCGTAGGGGCATTTGCTCTCAATATTATTAGACACTTTTTTTTTTTAATTCAATAAAAAATGATCAAAATGCGGTTCAGGATCTGATTGTTTTCTTTTGCGTTATAATTTAAAATTTTAAGAACTATTTGTAATAAAGCATATGCAATCTTGTTATACACGCCATTTACTTTATTTTCAGCATATTTCAGTAAAAAAAAGTAGACATGCTGAAGAATGCGCACTTTTGGATCCTTATAACAACGACTATATGTAAGAGTTGATTTTTTTTTTACTTTAGAAAAATTAAAAACAGCAACAACAAAATATCAGTTTTTTAAAAATAAATACATGATGCTGCCAGAAGATAATTCTATAACATATCAGGAACGATTTTTTATCGTAAGAATTATATAATTGTAATATCCTTACAGCATTTTTACAAGGCCAAGAAATTGAAGTCTTTAAGATTCGACAAGAAGATTGCGATACAAAATGCAAAACTGGACTACTAAACGAAATAGACATCCTTGCCTTAAACACAAGAGTGATATTAACAACGGATCTCCTGAATAACTCAGCTGTAATCTTTGAGATAAGGCCAAAATCAAGCCCATCCTTTAACTATGTGAGTTTGTAATAAGTTCATACAAAAAGCCTAATATAAAGTTATTATAAAATATTACATGTGTGCTAAAAAGAAAAAAATGACGAAACAATATAATTTAATTGTCTGTTCAATATTAGAAAACCAATTTTTTTTTTTTTTTAAATAATGTTTCAATTAAAATTATAGTTATTATAATTAAGGTTTTAACTCATTAAAACAGTTTATTACGCGAAACATTGTTTGCCTATGTTATAAAGAATATTGACATCACTTTTGACCTTTTAACATTTAATAAAAACACTTTGCTACATACTATTTAGGATATTTATTTAAAAATACAGTGAGAGTTACTACATATGTTAGAAGTCTCAGTTTTACTTCATGCGTTTTAAAATTAACAAATATGCATATTTTGTATCCAGTTGTTTTCTGTAGATATAAAATCTGACTGCACGGAAAGCAAAAATCCTGGAAGCAATTACCATTGCATTAAGATCTCCAAAAATATGTTTAACATCACATTTACTTTCAATGCGTTAACTGCTTTAAGCGAAGCAACGGTTCGAGGTGAAATAAAACACTATAACTTAACTACAATAGCTCACTCTGAGCAGACTTTACCAATTATCTGTGGTGGGTATTTCATTTGATTCTTATGTATGTTATATTTAAAAATGTCTAGGTCTTTCTTTTTAGATTTTAAAATATTTGATTTAACTTTTTAAACTTTTAATCTTATATGATAAATGAAAATATCATTTAGTTAATTTACTTGTTATTTTTTAAATTGTTTCGCTTTTTTTTTTTTTTTTTTTTTTTTTTTTTTTTTTTTAACAAAATAAATTTTATTTTTTTTAAAAAAATTTTTTTTACAAAAAAATAAAATTTTGTAATAAAAATTTTATTTTTTTTTTTTTTTTTTTTTTTTTTTTTAAATATAATTATGTTATTTAATTATTTTTTTAAATTTTTATATTTTTAATTATTTTTTTTATTATTTTTAAAAAAATTTTTTTTTATTTTTTTTTTTTTTTTTTTTTTTTTTTTTTTTTTTTCAGAACCTGCAGATGTTGCCGGTGTTTTAAAAATTAACGGAGAAAATGTAACAGATTTAAATAATTGCACGGTATCATTGAAGGAGGATGATTTAAATTTAGAATTTAAATGCATTGGCCTGGCAAAACCATGTGTAATAGAAATAACATCCTCTGACTGGACTGAGAAAAAAGTGGGAGATAACAAAATGGTTATTAAACGGTCACTAAATCAAGCTGCTGAGATAAAAATAAGTTTCGCCCTTTGTAGATTTGACAAGAATGTATTCAATGTGACGTGTAAAGTCATTGAAGGTAAGAGACGGGTCATTAAATTTTCAAAACTCGAAATTATTCTTAATGGAAACATTAGCACATAGACTAAAATAGAATCGACATTATTTTGACTTGTTTAACCCTTTCCTAAACTCTTAAGCTAAATGTATGCTAATACATCAATATTTATTGTAGCTCACGCATTTGTGTGTTTAATGGAAAAAAAATAATGCGTTAAAAATAAATACCAATTTAACTTTGAAACATTACAAAAAAAACCTAAATGCACTCTTTTCCAATGATATTAACTTATTTCCACCGTGTACTAAAACGATTAGCAATCTATAAAAAACAGCTGGTGGCTTTAAGATGTACTGCCATACATATATATTCATTTAAAAGTAGATTGCGATAAGATTTGATGACTTTTAATTACCTCATTTAATTTAAAAATTTAAAAAACGGAAGGCGAATGTCAATAAATAACTAAGTTAAAAATAAAAAAAGTTTTGTCATGCATTCACATATAACAGAAGAATATGAAAATGCTTACTTTTATCATTGTGCGTAACAAATATTTATTATGTCATATTTTTAATTAGACAACACATGTAATATATTTAAAATAATTATAACTGTAATGATTATTGTTTTGTGCATTTGTATTTCTTTATTAAGTTTTTTTTAAAAACCTTTTTTTTTGTGAATTGCATAATGGTAACATTTTTTGGTTTATATAATCTCTTTTTTGTTGGTCCTCAGTTTCCCCAAAACATCATACAGAAAAAATAATCATTGTACTAATCACAGGAATTCCAACAGTTATTGTTATTTTGTTTTCGTTATACAGGTAATTCTAATAGTATATATTGGTGTATTTCTTTTTTTTTTGTCTCTATGTAACTACCGGTTTCAATTGCCAATACTAACTTTATTATATCATTCTTTTATTACACCATGTACTCGACCCATGTTAAAATCAGAATGCTAATCACTTACGACATTCTTTTTTTAGTGAGTTGAACATTATTAATATCTTATATAATTTCCATTGACATTATCAACTCTACTTAACTATAGCACGTGATAAGTTAAGTTTACATCTTTTTTTCCGCTTCTCAAAGAATATGATTTCCATAAATTGCTTCATTATCGCCACAACCTGCTTCCTCTAACGTTAAACAACTAGTGTACCTCTCATAAAACCAGATAACCTCAATCCCACCTCTCTCAACAAGACCCATATATTTGCAAACCTATGCAATTAAAAGCTACTAAAGAAATGCTCTTCTCAGAATGTCTGTTAAAACAATGAATTGCATTAATTAATCTATTTACATTTTTTCCCCTTCTCAGACCAAAAAAATATTAGACCTAATATAAATATATATCTTTTTTAAAAGAAGAGTTTATTGAGTTTTTAAAATTTCATATATCTATGCATTTTTTAAAAATGTAATTCTTAAATAATTAATTTAACTCTTTTTAAGAATTTGCTGTGCATGAAATCACTAAATTTAGTTTGATCAAATGTTGAAAATGGGATTTCTTTTTATACAGTACAATACCACTAACGATCCCCTAAAATTATTTTGTTTAAACTTCCAGAATTATATATTCTATTATTTCTAATATCAATGTTCGATCTATTTAGAAGCAGATGTTCTTCTATTTTATGTTATAAAACATATCATTTGCTTTCCATTTTGTGTTAAGTCTGCTGAAAATCATCTCAAACCACCTGAAGGAAGGTTAGTTAATGTTATGTATGTATATCGTTATATTTAACGGGTGGATAGGTACTGCTATTAAGAGAACATTTTGGACTATTTATTGTTTTTAATTAATTAAATTTCGTTTGGTATAAGTAAATATAAAATATGTTACCCCTAGAAATATTATGATAAATAAATAAGTTTGACAATAAAAAGAATATTTGAAGGGAAATAAATTACTCACATAGTGCTTGGGTGGCCGAGCGGTCTAAACTGTCTCAAACCAAAAAGCCGGTGGTCCGGAGCTCAATCCCCACCAAAGCCATCCCAAGCACCCCGGGTGGATGGGACTCGTTAGCCTTGGACGGCAACCCATCTAAGAGAAGGCAAACTCTGAATTTAAACCAGGAGCCAGAATGATCAACAAATTGATCGTGAGCCCCTCAAATATAAGAAGAAGAAATCATAGCTAGGATTTAAAAAAAACACCAAACATTTGCCTAGACTTTAATCCTCATTAAAAGGGTTAGTAAAGCGATGATATTCACATTGAAATTAAATCATGTGCAATGATATGTACTATATATATTACTAAATTTTTATAAAATAATTTATATAAAGCATTTTTCTACTTAAATTCAACGAAAATCAGAAAGGAGTCTTTAAAGTGTCATAATAACTTCGTAATTTTTTTTTTTTTTGTAGAGTTAGGATACAATAATTGTTTCTCTTGTTTTATCATTATTAAATATAAATCATGACATGAGCCTTTACAGCAAGAAGAATGGATGAAAAAAAAAATTATTTTTCCGTTTCTTTTTTTTAGTTTATAACATACACATAAAACGTTATAAACAATTTTTTTATTCTCTTTTATATTGAAGAAAAAAAATGGTATTAAATGGTATGTCATTCTTAAGCAATATATCATTTAAAATACTATTTATATATATATATATATATACACATATGTTTTACCAAAATCCTTTCCAGTACAAGACCTCGAGCAAAATCCTGATGAAGTTGTTGCCTTTAAACCAAAAGGTATTATTTCTTTAATTTAAATGATATTTTCAGTGAACACTATTTTACAATAACTTGTTGGAGATAAAATACTAGCTGCTACTTTTAAAAGGCATTTCTTCAAGCGTAATTGTTTCTTGGTCTTAAGTGCTTAAGAGCGATAAACAGAACAATAAGACATCTTCTCTAGAACAAGAAACTAAGCAAAGCAGAAAAGATAATTTTAATTTTATATTTATAAAGTGTGTTTATTAGCTTATGCGAGATAAATGTACGTTTAAAATGCGTTTGAAATGATCAGCGCATAATTCTTCATATACACAACATTAAATATTAATCGAATACATGATACACTTTACAAAACAAAAACAAACATAATGGTTTCTTGGTCAAGAAAGACACCATATCAAAATTAATATTAAAGCTCGAGCTTAGTTTCGTTTTTGGAATATATATTCATCTAAAAACGGATATTTTAAAGAAATTAAATCTTTCTAACTAAGAAAATCATTCATGAAATAACAAACTACTACTTATCTTTTTTTTAAAATGGGCAATGATCAGTCTTTACTTAATAAGTCGTATTATAATTAGTAGTGTAATAAAGATTCTAGAAAAAAAACACACAAACAAACTCTGTAAATCGTTTTAACAAAAACATTGTTTAATGCAATGTCGTAAATTGCATGTTATTTTCAATTGCATATTAAACATATTTTCAAAATAATTTAAATCACCAGAAGTTTGAGATACGTACCGATTTCGTAGTTGCCATTAATCAATATTTATGTCACAAATTCAAAATCTTTACTAACATAATTTATCAACGCACATTTAAAGAAACTGACAATAACTTATAATTATAACTGAAGCAAGGCGACAGTGTCAATCCAATTACAAATGAAGATATTATCTGTATTGTTTTAATGAGTATTATAATCAAATACGATGAGACAAGACAAAACTTATTTTCAAACATTAGCCAAATTTAAAGCAATATTTAGTGAAATAAGCAAAATAAACGTTTTTTTTCCCTTTATATTTAGAAACTAAGCTTTACATTTTAATTTCACCGAAGAAGTTTATAAAATATATATCAAGCGATTTTTAAATATGTTTTTGAATAAAAAAGAGTTTAAAAAGTTAATGTGATGTCCTTACTGGGTATTGTTTAAATGAGTGTAAGACAATTTATAGTGTGAAATTAATTGTTTTTTTATTTAACTTTTATTTTAGATAAAGAGACTACAAATTACAGGCCTAATGTGAGTACCAACTCTATTCTATGGAAAGTTACCTTCGTCAGTTACAATGTTTTTAAGGAAAGTTAATTTTTAAGGAAAAAAAAAAAAGTTAAAAGAATGAATGAACACATACTCCGGATGTATACATATGCAATAAGTTAAGTTTGAAATGCGCTAAAAACATGTTTTCAGGCTAGTTGTCACAGTTAATACATTTGATAACTGTTAATGAACGAATACATATATATATATATATGCACTAAAAAACGCGCTAAATCTGTAATATATATTTTTAATTTCAAAACTAGTATTTGAACCTCTTTTTATGTAAGAGCTGCTGTTTTTTTTTTAAAAATAATATCAACATTATTTCCTTGTAAATACTTTGACAACTTCCGACGTGATACGACTTTGAATTTTTTAAGTTTTTACTTTTATTTTATGTCTGCTAACGAAAGAATCAAGTCAAAACGTTTATTGGATTGTTCTGTGTTTCTTTAAACCTTTACAGGTCTTAATTAGCGATTATCGTTAAAATTTTGAACAGGTTCAGCATATAAAAATAAACTACTCTATATTTTCATTTAGCTAATCATCTTTATATTTTTTTTTTAAAAATCCCTAAATAGGTATTTTGTTTTCAGGTGAGTTTCGTGGTCAGTGATGGGGGCAGTAATAATAATGACAAAACAGAAGCTTTGATAGATGCATGCTTGCATGGGCCATTGGAGGATGTAAAAATGCTAATACAAAGTGATACAGATATAAATAAAAAAGACAAAGATGGTTTGACACCACTAATGCACGCACTTGAAGCCAAAAACACAGACATTATTGAACTGCTGATACAGCACGGCGCTGATTGTGAAGAGAGAACATTGAAAGGAATGACGTATTTAATGTTAGCTGCAGACAAAGGATTAACTGACATCGCGGAGATGCTTATTGATAATAACGCAAATATTAATGCTACAAACAAGACTGGTTCAACAGCGTTGATGATTGCGTCACTCCACGGACATGCTGACATTGTTGCAATGCTTATGCAAAAAGGATCCGACGCTGGATATAGAAATAAAGATGGCATGAACGCTTTGATGTGTGCATCGAAAAATGGACACACATATATTGTTAAATTAATAATAGAAGATTGGGCCAAAACAAAGTTAACGACATCTTTAATAAATGAAAGAACGGAGATAGGACAAAATGCAATAATGTTTGCATCTCTAAATGGACACACTGAGACTGTCGAGTTACTTTTACAACACAATGCTGACGTTCGGTTAAAAGATTGGAAAGGTTTTACGTGTTTAATGTTCGCATCTCTAAATGGACACACTGAGATTGTTAATAAAATCATGAAACACAAACCTGAGGTGAACGAGAAGAACAATGAAGGATTCACACCCTTAATGTTGGCATCACAAGAAGGACACATAGAAACAATAAAAGTGCTTATTGAAAAGGGAGTTGACGTAAATGCTCAAAATACATCAGGTCGAACCGCTTTAATGATCGCATCAAGTAAAGGACATACTGAAATTGCTCATTATCTTTGCAAACTTAGAGCGAGTGTTAACAAAAAAGACTCAAAACAAATGACAGCTCTAATGTATGCATTGAAAAATAAAAATGTGGACATTTCTACTGTGCTGTTAAAATGGGGAGCCAAGGTTAAACAAGGAGATAAAAATGGTTTGACATGCTTAATGTTCGCATCGATGCATGGACTAAATGAAGCTGTGAAATATATCATTAAAAAGGGAGCACGTGTTGATGACAAAACCAGCTTAGGTCTAAATGCCTTAATGTATGCATGTGAAAAAGGTCACACGGAGACGGCGGAAATGCTTGTTAACAACGGCGCTAATGTGAACGCAAAAAATATCGCTGGTGTCAACGCCTTAATGTTGGCTTCCAGACAGGGTCATGCAGATATTTGTAGACTGCTGATACAATATAAAGCAGCTGTTAGTGAAAGAGATAAACAAAACAAAACTGCTTTAATGTACGCCAGAGAAAATGGTCATTTTGAAATTGTTGACTTGCTTACTCACGTGGAAGCCTTAGCAAACGAGGCAAACAATTGTAGAAAAGATTTAAAGAAAAACAAACAAACAAAGAAAATAGCACTGGGAATACATGGTTGATTTACTTTAAATATCAAATGTGTAACTCGTTTAAAAAGAAAATCAAATCCTGCATTATCAAATGGTTTCACATTTTTTAATGTAATAGTTGACATTAAAAAAAAAAAATAATGGTAAGATGGCAATTTCTATGGAATTAAGGCATCATTTAAGTGTTATTAAAAATCATCTTTTTTTAATCGCTAAAACAATATCATGTAAAGGAGAATAATGTTAGAAAAAAAATGTGTTGGATTAACGTCTGATTGATGTGTTGCGCTTAATGTGGATATACATTTACTACCAAAGGCTCAAATACAAAAAAAATCGGTGTAATCGACATTGTAATGTGAAGAATATTCATTTAATATTTGCTTTCATATATCCAACACTGTTGGTGCTTCCTTAATAATTTGTCATTATTAGAGATTTTGCAATTCTAATAGAAAAAATTTTTTATTAGATAACTTCTGTGTTATTTATCATTTAAAAAGGAGGGGCAGCACAGTCTACTTACAAACTTATTTGCTCACTAAAATGTATATTTTAAGCCCTAAAATCACAGCGAATGACGTGTCGCATTGTCTCCCAACATTTTTTGCAGAAAACCATATTTATAAATGTTCCTTCCTTAGAAAGATTAATTTTGAATATTTCGTTTTATAAGAACCTAAGATTCAACGTTCTATTATCAATTTTTCGAACAGGGTTATGTTTTTGTTTTGGAATAAAGGCTATTTTGACGAAATATGACTTATATTTGGAAAGTAGTGGTTTTCATTGTTTGTTTTGCCTTGCATTTTTTTAAACTGTGATGGATCACCTCTTTTTTTCCCCTTATAAAATGCATTTTTGTGACCTACTTAATGTCTCCCAAGCCCACAAACCCCGTATTACCTCCTTTCCCCTAACCCTTCCAGACGCCATCCCTTGATTTTTGGTATTTTGAAATAATGCAATGGTTGAAAATCCAATCGACTTTCATAGTAAGGTTACTTAAACTCTTCTTTATTTTAATTAATTAATTAAATGTAAATGGCCCTTAAATATGTTTTGAACATTAAAGTCATATCTTTTAAAGGTGTGTTTTAAAATGTACTTTACCATTTTAGTTGATTTAACAAGAAATTAATACGTTTATTTCTAATAAATTAACAATGAGGCAAGTAGATATAAACGATACTAATTTATAAGACTGTGTTTAAGGTATTTTTTTTTTTGAAAATAGTTTAGAACGTTATCTTTGGTCCTTAAACGAAAAGTCATGAAAACTGAAAGGACGTTTAAGCTAGATGCCTTTTTTCAGTAGACCAGACCAAACAAGAAACATGAATTAAACACAGTCTTCCATTATTGAGACTTCCAAACATATGCGTTGTCCAAAATAGCATTTGCACTCACTAAAAAACTACTCAAGATTACCTAGGGTCATGTGCTTGTACTATCCACTTATCTGTCATTTTTTCTTTTTTTGTTTCTTTAACTTTCATGCAACTGTCGTTTAACAGCTTATACAATATAATGTATGTTTGACCTTGCTGTGCGTTAAGTTTGTGATGCATTATAAAAACAGGTTAAAAAAACCTTTAATCAGTTTTCAATCAATGTAAATAAAGATGCAAGGACTTTAATGACTGGTCACGAGAAGATGTTCAAATTATGTTTGCATTTTGCGACACACTACGTTTATACAAAAATTTTAAATTTAATTTTAATAAAAACAAAGCAGAAAAAAATATTATGGCACCCCAAGATGACTTTATCTGTGTTGAGTTAAAAAGAAAACAATGATTATATTGTGATATTAAAATGAAAAATCATGTGTAAAACAATTAAAGTACTCAATAGTTTCAAAGATATTATTTAGTTGCATAGTAAGGATTTAAAAGAAAACAAACAATTAAAGCATTATTTCATATTTATAAATGTTGACTCCATATAAATGGAGTAAAAAACCAATTTTGATTTACTTGTCTATGATTGTAATCATTCCAAATCTAGCGGGTAATATACGATTTAAAAAATCATTTTAAGGGCAACAGCTAAAAAAGTGCCAACCGCTGCTCTTTAACTTTAAGCAATCCAGTTGGGAACAGTTCTTGTGAATTGAGATTTAATGCATCGTACCCGATCGACTTGATATTTTCGTCCCTCGGCCGAATATGGTGTAATGTATTGGTATAAACACCTCTGTAAATATTTAAAATGAATTTATTTTTTAAAATTAATGTTTGGCTTTCAAAATGTTTTTCCTATTTTAATTTGTTTATTTTGAATTTTAAATTGATGTTAAAGGCAAATCGTGACATTATGCCAGTTTCAAAAAGTTTCTGGATTGCACACTTTGCCTGTAAAATATATATAGGATGCTTATTTTAAATTTTACAAGAAGATGTTCTGCTTCTACGTCTGGACATCTAAAGTATATTTCATCTCGTAAGGCTTAGCCATGTCTTTGATAAATAAATACGTTATCCATTTGCTTTCGGATACATTCTGCAATTTGCCCACAAAAAAACCTGCCAGTGAAAGAATATAGTTCAAGAGGAATAATAATGGAGAATTAAATACATGTTACTTCTTTCCAGTAATTTCTAAATCAAATAAATATCGGACACATCTTGTGTTTTGCTAACAAAGTCCTCATCCATTTGATAAAATCGAAGCAAGCAAAATATAAAAATTGAAGAGAGTCCTTAAACGCTTTAAAGTGGGAAGAAGGGTATAGCTATTATCTATTGCTCTCAATAGGATGGAAAAGTTAGATTGTTTTTAGCCATCAATTGCGGAATCCTTTGTTAAACATGATTCATTTTGGAAGTGTTTTAAGAGCAAAAAAAAAATTATTTAACAATCAAAATAAAAACTCTCTATGATATTTATTTATCTGAGTTATCTTCTCATTTTCTAAAGTGCTTTCAAAACAATGATGAGGAATGAAAATTAAAATCATATAAACTTGATTATTATTATTTTTTTTTTTTTAATTAATATTTTTTTTTTTACATTTAAGCTGCCTAAAATAAATGATAGAAAACTTATTAGCGATTGGTGCCAATCTAAACGCGAGCTAAATGGAACAGCAAAACTCTGAAAATTAAATAGCTACAAGTTGTGTCTAATTATTGTTCTTAGCAAAATGAATATCTTTGGTTATGACCATGCTAATTTCTGTTTAAATCTAACATTTTATTTCACAAGCTGACACGTTAATGAATTGAGTAGCCAAAGCTATGTGTGTTTTTGCGTGTGAATGTCGGTGTATTGGGATTGTATGTGTATGTCTTTATTTGTGTTTTTATGTCATATATTTGAAACATTTCAATGTAATTTAACAAGTATTCAATACATTTTTTTTTTTAAATCGGCTTAACGGAAGGAAGGCTACGATTTGTATCATCATTATGATTATATGCATATTTATCCAAACCATATTCTTACGTTGTATAGTCAAAGTTAAAACTGCTCCCAGACCCGAGACCACGAAAACTATCAGATATAGACGGCTGGGCTCCTTGTTTTATTTTTATATGTTTGTGAATTAGAATAGGAGCTTTCAACAAGTGGGTTACGGCCACCTCGTAGGTATCCCAATATGACTTTTCAAAAAACTCAGTTGAGTATGTAAATGTAAAATTACCCTTAGTTAAATTATCTTTTTTTTTTTTTTACATTTAAATATAATTTAATCGAAGTTGTTTCCTAATGTTTCTAAACACCGACTACAATACAGTTACATAAAAAATTTATATATAACTATATCAGTCATTCCGTAGATGTCAGCAGCTAATTTTATATAAATATTTGCACAAGTTCGTTTCATAAAACAATTGAACGTATGGACTTATAGTTTTCTTTTGCTCTTTTTTTTTGGTCATGTATTGTTTTAGCATAAACGTAAAAGGTGTTAACTTCCACATAAAACTATACCTTTGTGTATGAATTTAGCTAAAATATTGTTTTTGGATTGACTTAATAACACTCTCCACCCTTCTTAACAATTACTTCAGCATTTCAAATTGAAAGTACAGTACTGACACATATTAAATACTTAAAATATATACCCCATCCCACTTTTCTCAAAATTAGTTTTATAATTTCAAGGTATAATCGCGTACCACAAATTGGAAGGTTTTAAAAATGAATCTTGACCCTAACAAAGTTGAGATAAAAAATGTTGGATTTTTTGTTTAACTACTTATTGTGGGATCAGAATAGCTATCCGATATATGAATGTATCGCTGTGTATTCAGAATAGCTCTTATGTTCTCCATTGCAAGTTTGCATTAGAGTATCAATTTGTTCGAACCGAGTTCCCGGTTTTTATTGATAATCATGATATCTGTAGCCGACTTGCCTTGGTGTGCAGCCTCAATCTCTGTCATTTTACAAGATGGCGGATAAGATGGCAGATAAGATGGTGTATACGTGGGTTCAAGTATGGCGGATGTGAATTTGGTTCAAGCCCACGACTTTCAATGCCATTAACCAATGAGAATCACGATAAAACACAAGATTATCCGTCCAAAAGAATACATTTAACATTTATCACGCCTTGAAATCCAAAGAAAAGATTTTTTTTAAAGTTTAAAACCATTTCAAAAGCTATAAAAAATAAGCACAGATGCAACTGAGTCCAATTTACATGAATTAGAGTGGAAGGAGAGAGATAACGCATGAGAGAAAGAGATTATTGAGAACATAAATAAATACATAATTTAAATAACTTTATAAAAATATGTTATAGAACAAATTGTAAACAGGAAATTCGTTGTTTTTTCTTTATATATATATTTTATTACGTAACCGATTCAATAACTTGATTTCACTTTATACTGCGCATGTCAAAAAGACAGTGATTAATTTTCTGATTATGTAAGAAATTGTTTGCTATCTTAATATGTAACTGGCTCACTAAACTGCATTATTTTTTTAAGCACAGCAATGTTATATTCAGAATGTATATACAATACAAATTATTATTATTAATAAGAGTGAAATTGTTTTTTATTAGTGTATACTATATTATTATCATAACATCAAATGGCAAATATCCCGAAATAAAGGATTCCAACATGATAAAATTAATTTTGAATTAAAAAAGTATATGTCACTATATTTTGTTTCCCAAAACTGACTTTCAATTTTTTTTTAAATGTGAAACATACGTCCATTTAAAAAAAATGATTTACTTATTTGAATGTATAGTTTTTCCAGTGTTTTCAGTCTCAATGCATAACATAATAGTTAACAGAAAAATAAAAATAAAATTAGTGATGCTTATATGTTTTATTTTTAAAGGAGTGGAAAAATATTAGAACCGCTTATTAATCACAAATAAGATTTTAGCATTTATGATTGATCCTTGTTAGCATTACTCATCGAGTTTCATTGCGTTAAAAGTTTTAATCAAAACTTTACAATAGGCCGATCTCTCTCAAAAGTGTGATTCACTAACAATTGTATACATCTCCTATTAATTAGTAAATAAACAAAGTATTTTATACTTTGCCCTTTTCATGAAACTAAATAAAGCTCACTCATTGAAAACTACAGAAATGTTACTGAAATAATAGTGGATCAAGATTAGTTTGGTGTGTTTAGAGTCTAGAGAACTGGTATGAATTTTTAAAGAAGCATGTAATTGATAATCATGTAAGGTAGCGATGAAGAGAGAAGTACTTATGTTTCGTACCTTTATAAGTGTAGATAATTTATTCTATTATATTAATTTATGGCTCGTTGATAAACAGAACTCTAAAAAAGGTCATACATATAGTTAAAGGCCGAAATCAAGAACGATATCCAAACTAAGACTAATTACAAACAATAAATTATTAAGTTAATTTAAAAATTACAAAAATAAAATAGGATTAAACTAAGGCCATTGAACTACAATACAGCAATGAACTTGTACAAGTGTGATGTTGGAAGTCGCCCAAACATATATAGTAAATATAACGTAAAATATCTTCGATCACTATTGTATCGTAATCGCAAAACTCTGTATCTCTCTCTTTTTATTGCAGTGCTTCTTATATATAGGCGTAGTTATATTTTTTCTTAAAGACCTTTCCAGGAAGGTTTTCGGAATTGTTTCTATACCTCGACCCTTCTCGTAAGTTCAAAAGAATGCTAATAGCTATAGGATGTCAAGGGTGACAATTTGTCATAAACCACATCCATCGTTGCCGAACTTGGGATCAACCGGAGTTCATGCACGGGTTTCACGATGTAACCAAGAAGACTACCGTAGCAATTTACATCTCCACTTATATTGTTTTAAGTAACATGTCACTACTAATTTCGAAATAACACGACTGCACTAGTGTCGAATCCTCTAAAAGACACAAAATAAATGAGACAAACATGTTTAAAAAATCTGGGGATACTTTCCTTTTTACTCTTTAAGTCTCTGAAAAAGTAATTTATTATATTATAATAAGCAGATTTTAATTTTTATTGTGTTATTATTTTAGTGATGAAATATGTGAATTTAAGATATTGCTTCTCTTGTATTAAAATCAAGTAAATGACTGTATGTTGTTGTTTTTTCTTTAAAAAATAGTTTGTGTCTAAATTTCTTAACTCTTTAATAAAATATTAGGAGAAAAGGAGTAGTGTTATTGTTAATATAAATTATGAAGAGAGAGAATTTATACTACGTTGTATCTGTATTTTTCAATGATTTTTTTTTTCATTTTCAACGAAAAATCTCCTAGACTGTTTTAAAGGCGATCCCGCAGTGGAATCAATAACGTTTTGCCGACGCCTTTTTGGCATGCATTTCGTGTAAATCACTTTATCCTGCCATGCCAATGGCAAACACGTTGATTACCATTTCGTTTTCTAAGACAGTAAAATGTTCACATTTGATATTTTATGGCTGGGATGATTAAAAAAAAATAATTGATATTTGAAAAAATTACACTAATGTCAAATTTATTTTTTGATTGGTTTGATTACTATTTAGTAGTTTTAATCTTTTTGTTTGGCCGCAAACATCGATCTGAACAGGACTAGGTACTACGATACTTAATAACTCAACTCTGAGGTAATTAGTGTATGAGTTTAACATAAAACTTCATTTTCAGCCTGGAAGCGGCGAATTAAAATGTACATGTTTTAAACTGTGAGAAAATATTTAAAAAATAAAGTGTCCTTTACATATATATTTTTAAAAAAATTGTGTAGATAATTTGTAAGTTCTTTAACAAATTATCTTCTAACATCATATTGGTATACTTTGTGACTTGTGAATGGTTATTGTTTTTGTACGACTTACTGAAATTTTAAAATTGTTCAATGATGTTTAGCGTTGCAAAAGTATTCAATTAAATAACGTTGGTATTCTGGATTTTCAGATTATTATTATTATTTGTGTTCATTATGCTTATTTAGACCTTCACATTTCAATTATTCCAATTAAATGAACAAAAATAAATAGTTAAAATGTTTAACAAAACTTAAACAGGGAAAACAAAACAAAAGATATTAACCAAATTAATAGACTCTTTGAAAGACAAATGTGTATTCACTTCTTTTATTTCAGTTGCTTTTTTTTTGTTTTTTTTTTAAAAATTACTACATGCTGTAATCAGAATTTAAATAGTTATTTGAGTAAGGAGAAAGAAAGAGAATCTTTCTGTACGGGATCAACTCAATATAATAATTAATCAAAATAATAAACTAGAAATCATTAATATACTTGAATAGGAAAATGATAGCTGTGAAAAAAATATGTACATTTCAGCAATGATTTTTTTCTTGTCTTTCTTATACTTGTCTTAGAATTTAATGAAGCAAAAAATAAAATGAAACTCTTAAAATAGCCAAAAGATAAATTTTAGTGTGATTATGTACATAGAGCTCATGCTTTTCATAATATTTATTGTTATTATTATGTTACAATCGCTGGTTTTTATGTATACTCCCGATGTTCCTGTTTTAGACCTTATTAATAGACTAATAATGCATTTTAGTCTTTTACATAACATTAGATATCCAAATTAAGTATTATTTAGACGAGTATTTTTGTAAAAAAATGTAATCGATATTTTAAAAATTCCAAAACAATCTTAAGCATTATTTACTTATTTCGTTTGAAATTGGTTATCTTCTGACACCATTTGTAGCGTATCATAAACACTGCTCTATGTGTTATGATGTTGTTACTTGTAGGGTTGTAATTATCACTTCTACTATACTGTGCATCCACATTAGCATACGTCCATCATGTTTATACAAATAAGTACCAGAGGAATAAGCATCACGACTTTTATTGACTGATGCACGGGCATCCACTAAAACAATATCTCTGTAGATCAGAGTAAAATATAATTTTTCATACAACTTCTTCTGTTTCACAAAATGAGCATTAAGATGCTACTAATAACAAAAATTAACATGGCCAGCGCCAAATATATGAATCCCTGCCAAACATTTTTGGCCGTTAAAACTCTGTCCAATAACTCCTTCACTTCCAGTTTTCTATTTAACAAACCAATACATTATTTTTTACGAAACAAAATTGATATCTAAATATTAGATATGTGACAGGTATGATTTAGGAAACTTAGTTCCTTATTTGGTTCATTGTTGTAAGCTTTGATTTGTTGGGTGAACGATTTCAATAGACTAAACACTTTTAGGGTGTGCATAAATTCATGTATATGTTAAAATAAAAACAATAAAAATATAAAAATAAAGGAGAAAACAAATTTTTACACATCAAAAAAGTCTGTTACTATAGCATCTCAAACTATCATAATACCGGACTCAAAGGAAAAAAAACGTTAAAAATTACCGTCAGTTCAAATAAAAGGAATATGTTTCGCATAATCTCCCTTTTAAAAGTAACAGTATATCCATCTGTGTGTTAAACAAAAGAAAGAAGAACGATCGATCAAATAATTATAAATGTGAATGCGTCATTATGTACATTTACTATAGGCGTGACAATAATTCAAAGCAAATTAAATTAATGATTCACTACTTTTAAAACTGCTTTACGTTTGCAGAAAAGAGACAATGCTATGTGATAAATGTACCAATTAGTGTTAAGAGTAAATAATCAAGGCTTACGCGATTTAATTGTTTTTTATTAACTACAACATGTTTCATTTTATTTTTAAAAAAATATGTATTTACGTCATGCTCTAAAAAAGAAAGAAAACTAAAGATCAACAATCATTTTTTTTTAAACACGATTGATCCATGTACATAAAGAAACGTATGGTTACTATGAAATGTCATTGAAATGTGACAATAAACATTAAAACATTAAACATGTCGTTTTTCACAAGAAATATTTATGTTTTGTGTGTGGAACTAGATGAAAATTTAAAAATTCATTGTATTCAAATTTAATTTAAAATACTTAAGCACATCTTAATTAATCTTAAATAAGTGTTGTTTTAAAACACACTCTAGGCTCATATATTCAAGCAAAGGTATGGTCCAATAAGTTTTTGACAAGCCCTAGGGAAACGCAACATAAATGGCTGACATACAAGTACTGTATGCGCTAAAAGTAACACTACTTTCTTCATTAATGCTTAACTCAAGTAGCCAAGTGATCCTGGTCTTAAAACGGAAAATACGTTTAACTAAATATGTTGGATAGAGTTCTATCCACGGAGGAAATAGTATTTACAGTTAAGACAGCCAGATTATTTGGCATTGGTTTTGCTTTGTGATAGATTTTTTTTAGTGTTGATATGCAAGCGAGACGGATAAGTTTGCCAAGTGTCCACTATTTGAGCAGTCAGGCAGCTTTAAAAAAAAAATATGTTTATTATTGTATTTTTCACATTTAAACATTAAAGATGCTAGAATTACAGTACATTTGGCTCATCCTGTATAAGTAAAATAATGTTTTAAAAAATGCACTCATTTGTATACAGAAATAATCAAAGGCAAGTTGTTTTATTTTTTTAAAACTATACTAGCTGCACCAGCTATAAGTGTGTTGTCTTTGTCGTATATCTGTCACGTGTCTTCCAAAATATGTAAATATTTTCAAGTTGATTGCGCATTTCCAGTTCAAATCATAAAAGCTACATACTTCATGGTTTATTGTAAATCCACTATATTGTACATGACAAAAAAATACTTCTACAACCTGTCCAACACATCGTAATTTCTCTTTCGACCTTTGTTAACGACTGAGTATTGCACGCTTTCTACATCTGCTGCGCTATTGCCTTCAATGGAATCAACTTGTCGTTCTTCAATGTTTCCATTTTCGGAGAGACGTGGTGATTTTATCCTATTTTCGTCTAAAAAAAATGCTAAAAAAATATGCAAAAAAAATATGTAGAAAATAATATTAAAAACACTTCTACTCATTTTGCAAAATACAGGATATAACTTTTCTGAAGCATATTTAAAAGAAGAAAAAAACATATACACGTGTATATATATGTTTATACATAAATAAAAATAAATAAATATATATATCAATATATATATATATTATAGAATCATCCACCAATTATTTTATTAAATTGAAATATTGAGATCAGTTATTTTATTACCAAAAGGTTTGAATGTTCTAAATAACGAGTTAAAACGTACATATAGATACCTTTTCTTTTCAAGCAACACCACACGTAGCAAAGACACAATCCAGTAGCAAAAATAATTGCTGCAACAAGACTAACAACTAATGTTATAACTCGTGATGTATTGATGATACCTGTGAATGATATGAAGACAAAATTACTAAAACAGATTATTGAGTGTAATTTATAAAATATAATTAATGTTACAAATATATATTCAGATGTTTATTAATTTCAGTTTTATGTAACAAACATTAAATTCAGCAAGTGAGTAAATAAGTTCAATGCTTATAACATTTTCAAAAATGGGATGTAATGTGGATAATATATAGCTTTTTATTTTAGCTTTATAACCTGAGGGATTAGCATGTTTTATATCATCGGTAAATAACATACCTTCCTCAATAGAAAAAGTGTAATTAAGTCCAGGACTTATTCCATTGTCAATAATAAGAATATATTGTGTAAAATGTTTTTTTTTTAAAATGGTGAAGTTCAAGTACAATGTCATTGAAGAAGATTCGCCATCTTTGACTGTTATCACGTAGCCATCCGAAGCAGCATTACCATTTTTGACCTGATCAAATTTAATTTCAGAACCATCCTCTTTAATCAAACGATACGCTTTAGGTTTGGGGAAGCAGATCATGTTAATTTCAACTGAAACGGTGCCATTTAAATTGCTGGTCTGAAAAGCTGGTGTGTGGCTCTCTTTCGTGGCGTGTATTAGATTTGGAGGACCTAGATTACAAAAAACGAATACATATTTGCAAATTGAAAAATAAATAAAAGTTTATTCTTAGTTTTGAATGTTTTAGTTTTATAATTTATTTTTATAATCTTCAGGTAAAAGGTAACAATCAAAGAAATACCAAATAATTTTGTATAAATTTAAATATTTTAAAACATACTATTTTTAACAAAATGTCACTAAAATGGTAAAAAAATATAATATTACAGCTGAACGCTTCAAATGTATGTGGAACAAAAACGTGTAATATTTAAAATCTGCATTTCTAAAAATTAAAAAAAAAAAAAATTCTTCATATAATTGCTACTATATTTACTCACATTACAGATTAAAAAAAGTTTGTGTTGTGTCGGGATGACAAGCGCCATGCTAGCAGCCTAGCTAATCTGTGTAGCTCCGAAATAAAACTATTTTCATCAGATCTCTTTGAGATATGTGCGATATTTTGAATGTATATACTTTTGTTGAGCGTTCCAATTACAATTGCGGAAACATATTGACGCATAATGTCGATACATTTTGCTCATAAAAACTTAATTCACCTATATTTAGAGTCGAACTATCTGCCCATTAGTCAAACAAAACATAAATTTAATTGAGTATAAAAACGCGAACAAGGATTTTAAAAAAGGTACTTTAGCTGTATACTATGTGACTATAGCACACACATTTTTGATAAATATATATTTTAACTGTATATTGATATTAGAAAAAAAATTATGGTATATTATTACAAAGAAACGTCTTTTTTAAAAGAACGTGTGTTTTTATTAAATTTTCTTAGCAGATGAAATTAAAACTCAAAAGATAATATATTTTTATTATCATTATTATATTTTTGAAAAAGGACTTAATTTATTTCATGTAATTAAACAAATGAAAAGTTACATTAACACATTTTAACAAACCTACCCAATATAAATGAGTGTACAAACTCCATCCCATACTGTACGTCTGACTCATCATTGGTGACATTAGGATAAATTGTTATATTTAAAGTAGATGTTCCAGACCTTAGCGCTGACAGAAGGAATCCAAACGTACAAATGGATGTGAAATATTCTGGATCTCCATCCATCCTAGCACTGCACATTTCGGTCAAAATTGGCTTATCAACTGGCTGAAAAAAAGATAGTTATATTTTGTAATTGTTTTAAACTAATTCATTTTAAATTAACATACTTTTTACACATATTAAAATATTTTTGTATCATTTAGTATTATAAAACAATTAGTTTTCAGCCCACATTATTAATACTCATCCGATGAAGACAGATTCCGTTGGGGTAGATTTTGTGTGCAATACAAGTGACATACAAATAGTCATGAAATATACTGTTCATGCATGTGATGTCTTCAGGTTTGGCTGAAATTTGTATAAAATTTAATAAATTTATGTAGTCAAGCACATATATATATTGCAAACATATAAATTTGCATTTCGATATCCTAAATTTTAATGGTTCTTTGAAAGGTACAATTCTAAATGTATTTGATTTATTGCATATAATAATATACGAAGAAATCAGATTTCAAAATTCTTTAACTATCAAAAATATAAATAATATATGTTTCCCCAGGTCTTAATTGTATATGTCCTTGTGTGTGATTACAACCAGGCATTGCTGGGACGTAATTAAAGTTTTCACAACACAAGGAAGAACAAAGTCAAGTCTTTTAGAAGTTGCAATAAAAAAGTTATGATTGAACACAAATGTACGTACCGAAAACAGTTACGTTACAAATACTTTTATTGTCCGTAATTGAATTCTCATAATATGCTCTAAACCACTGCTTCTCTTTTGAAAATAGCTTCCTACTGAGGTTGTATATCAAAACTGTAACAGCTTGGTCATATTTTTGGGAGGTCATTGTAATGTTAAATTTATCAGAGTAAGAATTTGCACATATTTGAGTGTTTGGGTGACACGTTCCAATGTGTTGAAACATTGATACTATTCTGATATCATTCTTCTCTGCTTTAGAAGGGAGCATAAAGCTTATGGTGTGATTCTTGTTTTCTTCAGCAGGAGTACAAGACATTTTACCCTTCACTAAAATGTAAAGAAATGTACGAATTGTTTTAAAATTAAAACATGAAATAAAATAATCCACCAAAGGCAGATTTATGTTTCTACCAACATTATAATGTATAAATATTATTATATAAATATGGTGATGTTAATTCAGTAAAAGAATATATCATAAACCTTAAAAATTGTTCGTAGCATATATTATAAAAACACGTCTATACAATAAATTTAGAATTTGCTTAAATTTTAAAATTGCCTGGAACAAATGAAATAAATTATTAATGTTCAAATATTTTTTCCACTGTTAAGAAACTTTAAATGTGAGTTAGTTTTGATTAAAGCTCTTTATTCATCCATTTATGTATCGATCTTCCTTTTTTTACACTTACAAATAATATATATTATGTATATATACATATATATTATAAATATATAATATGTATATATATATATATATATATATATATATATATATATATATATATATATATATAAATATATCTCTTTTTTTATATCTTTCTTTTTTTTTTATAAAATAATTTTTTTACACAATATATACAAAAAAAAAAAAAAATTTTTTTACACATAAAAATAATATATATTATGTATATATATATATATATAATATATATATAATATATATATATATATATATATATATATATATATATATATATATATATATATATATATATAAATGTACCGCTTTTTATGTATCTTACTTTATTGTTGATAAAATACTTTACTTACCCAATATCGACAAAAAGAAAAACAATACCAAACACAAAATTGCCTTCATAATTATGTTCATTCTCATTGTAGAAAGTGAACCCTTTCATAAACGCCAGGATTTAACTTGTGTTCGTTGACAGATAAAAGTCATACATATTTACTTCCTCAAAGTTAAGGGAAGTTATAAGTTAACATACTTATTCATGGGTCATGTTAGCTATGACTCAATAAACTGTCTTAGTTTGTTGAAGTTAAGACTTATACTCTATAAAGCATTATGCTTCTTTTTTTTTTTAGAATGGCAGAAAAATCCCTAAAAACATGTAACATTAAACGAATGGGCCTAAATTATTTTTAAAACATTTCATTTCGAAAATCAAAATAAATTAACGGACTTGCATGGACAAATCCGAACGTTTTTAAAGAAGATCGTTTTCGTAAAAAAAAAAATAAACCCTTCTTACATAAAATTTGCAGACGTTCGTTGGATAAAGTCAAAGGTGATTGAATCCATCAAGGCATTTATTCTTATGATATGCCATATTTTTCGGAGTATATACATCACCTTTGTCCTTCTAATGTAAGTCTGTAAGTTCGGAGCGTCCACTAAAAACCATGTTTTGCAAAAAAAATAAATAATAAAAATAAAGTAATAAGTTAGCACAATTCTTTACTTAAATAATTATGAGCTCCCAATAATTTGGAACGACACAATCAATAAATTACAAAGTCCATGTCAATTATTGAATGTACAGTACGGATCTGAAATTTACTTTAGTGTAAGGAAAATGACGAAATGGTTTCCTTGTGTTATTACCAAAAAGCAAAATAAGTAGGAATTTCAAGAATTCATTATAACATGAAGGAATTTGAATCAACAATGATGTACGTAAAATCAAAAATCTATTCATATTTTCATTGACCACATAAGATTCATTGATAGAGAGCAAGTATTTCTCTCTTTCAAAATGAGTAAGTAACGTAGGCTGCAACAAAAAGGTAATCAATTGATGGCTGTAAATTACTACGTAGTTGTTGCTCCACAGACGAATTTCTTACATATTTGCTTATTTTAAGTGATTTTGTATAATTTTTATGTGAGTTTTTTAATATTTTTGTTTTCAGATATATAAAGTTGTAATTGTGTCAAATGGTTTTTTTACGTCGTATTCTTTCACCCAATTAACTTATGACATTTTGGAATCAAATTAACAGCCATATTACTTTACAAGATGATTAATAAGATAATGAATTTTTTAGAGATCACTTTTTTTTTCGGGAAGTTTTAAAACGCATTTTATTATATATAAATTTATGACATACGTTTCTCGTAATATGATGATTGTATAGAATTTGCAGGGCAAAATAACAAAGACTGTGATTTTCGTTTAGGAGTATAAACTTGTTCTCTGGACAGAAAATCGACTCTCCCCTCGCACCTGGATAGCCCAAGGAAACGTCATGTGAAGATGAAACAGCTCGGCATAAGTAGCGCAATAGAAATTGTACGAATTTTTAAATGTATCAATGTTATACGCCTAGAGGATGCAGCGTCCACTTCAGAGTCGTCCTTCTCATACAAGTTTAACTGGTCGCATCCACCCAGAGTGCTGGTGATATTTTCTACTGAATGTGTCTTTGGTGCGAATTTAACTCCAGACTACAAGATTGTTAGAGACTCGGTGTATACAACTTTGCCATATATCTTTGTCAGATACCAATAAAAAACTAAATGACTCACTGATCACATGACTAAAAGAAACAAAAGCTTTATGAAGTTAAAAGAAAGTGCGCTTGTTTATTCATGTTAAGGGCCTAAACTTATCAAATTGCAAAACATACAGGGTGGGCCAATAAAAGTGAGAACATCTCGTAAAATGTGATTAAATCACATCAAATTTAGTTGAACTATACCCATACTAGCTTAAAGTCGTTGAGAAGCAAGGAGGACACATTGAACATGATTTCTGATTAGCTAAATATTTTGCACAAAAAAATTCCATGAAGAATTATAATTCATTAAATTATTTATATTTTGAAATATCTCATATGCTACGAGATGTTCTCACGTTTATTGGCCCACCCTGTATATAAAAGTCATGGTTTGGATCGTGAATGTATTTGTCGTTTTTAGTTTTATGTCATCCTTTTTTGTGTTTCTGTTCATGTTTCCACAGCAAATGAATATAACTAAGAGACTTCCTTTAATGAACAAACACCATCAACATATTACATAACTTAAGTTAAAAAATTAGTTGAAATGTATTATCCGAGAGGACAGCATTCCCCTCTCTTTGATTTTTTAATTGTTTTGTAGGTTTGATGCGTGTACTTATTTTTTTATATGTTTAGTGAGGGTGTTGCAAAAAAAAGTTTAAAAATTAAAAAAAAAACCGGACAATCTGAGCAAGTGGCCTAGGAAAGTTGATGCAGAGGGGGGCCAGTCTTTCTAGCAGCTTTAATTATTTTTAAGGAGCGACGGCATTGTTGGGTAAATTTAGATTCTTTTAAAGGTATTGGGAGGTAAAATAGCCTGCATATACTTTTGTTCTGATAAATGCTTAAAGTTATTTTTTTTTAATATTCTTAATTTTTATGATTCTTTTCTATGGTTATATGGTCGATAAACGTCTACATTTAAATTAGATAATATGGAATAAAGTATCGACATTTTGTGTATTCAACTTTTATATAAAAAGACATGTAAGCATAATTTATTCATATTATTCAACCAAAGACCTGCACAAAGCCAGGGAATTAAAACATTTTTTTCCCTAGAAGGTATATTTAAATAAGTAAATAATTTACCAACCGAAGACTACCGCAAAGTGATGTAGACATTCTTAACTTTTAAAGAACAAAGTGAAAAATTATTAGTAAAGTATAGATAGTAGTTAAATCGTTTGCAAAGTGAGACAAGAATAGGCTAGAAAAAGGTGTATTCGTTAGCCTTTTTTAAGATGAATAGAAAACTTTTAAGGTAGGTTTAGGAAGTGCTTCCAATAAAATGGTCAATTTGAGAATCTTTGAAAATTTTGCGTTGATACTGGTTGGGGTATATTAAGTCGTCCCTGAGACAGAAATTGGGTGGGTGGGGGGTGGGGGTGGCTTGTTTTATAACTGGATCAATGCTTTTGATTTTTTTTAGGCATTACAATACACAAATTGATAATTTAATATCAATTTTATATTTTTCAAACGATGTATGTCGCGACCCACATATATCGCTTCATTTGAAATTCCTTACGTCACCATGTAGAGCTCCGTTTTAAAACTCTTCCACCATGCGAAAGGAGTGACCAATGAAGACACACGATGTTTGTTTAAAGCCCAGAGCGAATGCCGACAAAATGTTAAACAATAACGACCAGGGATTATTTTCTATTTCTGTTTTAAATGTGGGCTGGATTTTTAGCATAATACTTGAGGTTACCTCAGTGGCCAGTGGGAGTGGGAGCCGCTAATGTTGGGGGCAAGGAAAGGGGAAAATTATTTCCGGTTTTTTGGTAACGATCTGAAACAAAAGGTAGTTTCTCTGAAGGTTAGGTACCACAAATGAATTAGTTGATTAAAAGGCCAGATGTAAATGTGAAGCAGAGGAATAGTTAAAGGTTTGAATAGTTTACATACTTTGACACAGTAAGACACCAAGATAATTACCTACGAAGCTATATTATGTATCCTTACGTGTTGTATCCTTAAATATGGGACAGATATAGGACGAAGAAATAACATTTCTAATAGTAGTTTTAAAGGAACACTGCACTGTTTAGAAGAGGTCGAAATATGTCTGTTCATCTATGATCTTTCATTATAATAAGTATTAATTTTTTTGAAATGATGCACCACTTTGAGTTGCAAGAAAACAAATATTTTACAGTAGTTTGCAAATGTAGTACATGTGTGTGTATATAACGGGTATCATATTCACAGTAAATTGTTATAGTTATTTCCTAAATAATGTGAACGGAATGTCAAAATCAACTACACGACAGTGAGCTGAATGGATTGTCACAAATGGAAATTGTGGATCCCTAAATTAATTATAGTTGATTTCTCTAATGCATGTTTATTACTTTTTAATCCTGAAAATTGTTCAATATTAGGAAATATAATTAAATATGAAAAAAAAGAAATAATAAAATTTCAGGCAAAGAACAACACAATTAAGTTTTGGAAATTCAGAACAATTATAGATCCATTTTATTTAATCATTTATATTTTATTTTACAACAATTTAAATGGTATCATAATATATCAACATACATTTTAAGATTTTCAAAACTTATCACCTGATATTTCCCAAACTTCACTTTTGTCAATTGCTATTAAACTATTTCTATTAATTTAAAGTTAAAGAAATATATTTTAATAAATATTTTGTTTCTTTTCAAAAGTAAAATTGAAAACTTGTATCATATTAAGGTTATCTAAGTTTTTGCTTTGAAACTCGTCAGCGTTTTCGTAGAACAAAAATAAATTTCGTAATTTTAAAAAAAAAAATTAAAAATCTTGAAAAAATTGAGCAGTATGTTTGTTCAAAGTTTTATTGTTGATGTCTTACAAACAAATTATGCATATTTAAAACAATTATCATTACTAATGTATTCTACGTTTTTAATATTTAAAATTATTGTTTGCATCTATATTGATTAACGTTGTATTAAGCTATTTACACATTTAATTTAGGAGATTAAATTGTTATTGGGTAAATAACTACCCATATAAAAGGTTAAAATATTGAACAATAAAACAACAACATCTTTATTTGGTCACAAATACAAATTGAACATATTTTAATAGACATTTTGTGACGATAAAGTAGGTTTGGCCTAATTTTTTTTTTTTTTTCTAGACACCAAAAATAGATAAAAATATAAATAATTTTGGTTGCCCCTATTATTTCAAAACATTGTATGGATTGTCTTTATCCTAAGGGCCATTCAGTCACGAAAAGTCACGCATCTTTAAAGTTGTCTCATTGAATTACGTCTGACTCATTTTAAAGTGTATGAGTTTCGTTGGGTTTTGATGGTGAGGAAGCCTAGCGTATTTTGAACTCCTTTTATTGTTTAAGTGGATTAAAGTTTACAAACACATGTCAACCATAT